GCTCGGTGGCTCAGCCTGTAATCCCGCGCCTTTGGGAGGCTGAGGTGAGTGGATTGCCTGAGCCCGCGGGTTCGAGACCCTCCCGGGCAGCGAGACCTCATCTCTACAATAAAAAAAAAAAAAATCAGCCGGGCGTGGTAGCGCATGCCTGTAATTCCGGCTACTCGGAAGGCTGAGGCAGAAGGATCACCGGAGCCCAGCAGGTCGAGGCTGCGGTGGCCGGGAGCAGCCACTGCACTCCAGTCTGGGCAACAGAGTGAGACTCCAACTCAAAAAAAAAAAAAAAGATTATTGTAGCCAGGCTTGGTGGCTCAGCCTGTAGTCCTGCTCTTTGGGAGGCTGAGGAGAGTGGATTGCCTGAGCCCGCGGGTTCGAGACCCGCCTGGGCAACTTGGCGAGACCTCATCTCTACAATAAAATAAAAAAATTAGCCGGGTGTGGTAGTGCACGCCTGTAGTTCCAGCTACTTGGAGGGCTGAGGCAGAAGGATCGCTGGAGCCCAGCAGGTCGAGGCTGCGGTGGCCGGGAGCGTGCCACTGCACTCCAGTCTGGGCAGAGTGAGACTCCAACTCAAAAAAAATAAAGAAAGAAAGAATATTTTTGTGGGGAGCCAACTTCTTTTTATTTACTAGTTTTAAAATTCTGTCCAGCTCCCTCCCACCTTTCTTTATTTATTTAGGATATATTGTTGTAGGTTTCACTTTAAAAGAATATTGTTGGTGAGTAATCTCCATCATGGTTCATAAAATGTCTTCTTGTTTCATAGGCAGGCCCTTTCTATCCCACTGTTCATTTTGAGTGTGTTTTTCTTAAAAAATGAGTAGATTCCTATTTCATCTTAGGTTTTCTTTTATTTAAGTAAAGAAGTCAAGATGGCTAAAATGCCTTTTATAATTTTTTTCTCAGATTAGTTAGCCATAAGGCAGTTCCTAGTCTTGAAACAGAGTGGTTATGTGAAAAATATAAATAATATTTTTTAAAATGATATTTTGAAACATAGTGCCATATTACTTAGGTTTCCAGGCTACACCACAAGAGCTTACTTAACATTTCATGATGCTCAAGTTGAATTCTGGATCCTGGATGAAAGAAATCAGGAAGAATAAAGGAGTGGGGGTGAGGAAGGTCTAATGTGTCCTTTCCTGACCATGAAGACACCATTGATTCCTTTCTGCTTCTTTTTACTCCTCTTCCTTGAAGCTGGTCTTCTGCTGTTGAAGCTGCTTGTATCTCTGCTGTAGTGTCCTCCCACCACATTTCTAAGTATTCAGCTTTATTTGCCAAGGTATAGAGGGTGGAGGACAGAAAGAGCTTTCTAGCACCAACTAGTTAATTAACCAGTACCTATGAATGGTTGTTGCTTCTTAACCTTCCCAGGGGTATTTTCACTTTTTACAGAAGATGTGTTAAAGCAAATAAACTTGTACTTTGTGAAACTTGTATGAATTTAGCACAGTAGGGGAAAATCAGTGTGACAGATTACGGAGATCAGATTACGGAGATGGCCTCCGTCTAAGTAACCTGGCCCTGAGTAAGTGCTCTCTACATATTTGCAGAATAAATGAATACAAAGTGACCACTTTCCACAGTAGCTTTTATTATTGGACTCCGGTTTACAAGGCCAGAGTCTCTGAGCTTCAAGATATCTGGTTTTGTCCAATTACTGGACAAATGAGCAATCATGACCAGGTGGGCTTAGGAGCCTGGCAGGGCATATGTAATTTATTTGTTAAGTGAGGAATCCGTGTGTTCTTTTTTTTTTTTTTAAACTTGTTTCCCCCCATATAAAAGCAATACTTGCTCATTAATGACTAAAGATAAAAGATCACTAAGAAAACCATTGTGACGATGTTATATTTTTAGTAAAATAAACTGTAGAGAATTACTCATGAAAGCATGTTGCTATCTAAGTGTTTAAAATGGCTTTCTGCTTTAATTAATGTTGTCTAATCAATGCCCAACTTCTTTTCAATGCATGAGAGTTTTATGAACATTTCACATGGAAACTAGTTCACCAAGGTCTGTGGCAGCCTTGCTTTGTCACCCAGTAGCCAGTCCTGGTTCCCAAGAAGATATAACACACTTTCCAGATGTCTTACATCCAAAGGAAGCATGTGCTTCCTCAGTAGAATGTTTTGTTAATTCTCACCAGGATTCTGAGAAAGAGGAACTGTGTAGAGATTTATTAGGAGACGGACCATGACTTGGTCATGGTAGGACTCTGGCAACTTAAGGCCAGTCTCTGAAAAATATAAATTTTTTTCCATCCGACTATTTTGTTTATTTCTTGTCTAATGTTTCCACCAAAGATATTGTCCTATGTAAAATTATATGTCAATATTCTAATGGAATGAAATAATAACACAGTATAGTCTTTTCTGAATTATTCATTTATTCTTTGAAGATTATATCTAGGATCCTATTAATTCAATTCAGTAAGTTCAGAATTTCAACATATGGTATCATCTGATCCATGCTGCATTATCTACTTGTTTTCCTACTGAAGATAACTAATCAGTGTCTTCCAATGTTGTCTTTGGTCATAGCAGCCATGTTTATGTGGCGGTTGCCTGTACCCAGTCTACTCCAGACCTCTGGTTAATACCAGGCACTGCTTGACCTGTCCTAGGGTTCTGCTGATTTTCAAGTCTTCTGATTGAATTATTGCTTTTTCTGGCATCATGCTGATTTTCTACACTATTTCATGCTTCTCCCAGGAGATATCTACTTGTTATTTCTGCTTTTGAAAATATCACAGTAAGAAATACATTTGTTTTCAACTATCTTCTTTTTCTGTCAATAATTCAGTGCAACATTTCTTGAAGGTTGTTCCATCTCTTTCATTGATTTTTTAATGCCTTTTAATTATGTCTTACCTTTTAAAATTCGCAGCTTTTAATATTTAGTAATTCATGCTGTTACCACAGAAGCAGCTTTATTCTTTTGATTGTTCAGTTTTCTGTGGGTGTTGATCCTGGATCACAAGAATATACTAGATTTGGAGAAGCACCAATAGGTGGAGGCTGTACATCTGAAGAGCAAGATTGCCAAGGAAGCAATATTGTTGGCATAATTATGAACCTCATATCATTATGTTGTAGTGAACCTCTTCATGATGCTGGCATGAAAGGGAAATATAATAGCCAGGTTTTGAGTTCTCCATGTTATAATGGATACACTCTATATTCTGTGTACCCACCCTACAGGAATGGGAGTCAGCAGTATAAAGTTACCATCATTCAATTAATCAGTCTTTACTGATCATCATATCGTGAAAGAAACCGCACCAGACACTATTAGGTAGATGATATAATAGGGATGTAGAGGATTCAAAGCACTTTACGTTTAAGACACATGTACGTTTCATAGAACTCAGCCTGGAGTACAGCACAGGGATGCAGGCCGAGAGTGGAATGGCTCTACAGATATCGTACACTAAGACACATTGTTAATTAAGGCACAGGTAGAAAAAAATCTGTGGAAGATTTGGAATGAATGTGGTTTTTTTCCTATAAAACATTGAGAGTAGCATAAGATATCGATTTATAGGAAGAACTGACTTTAAAATAATAAGGCAAAGTACGTCAATAATTATTAAATGGACCGCAATGGGATGGAGTAAATACAACTCATAGCCTGCTTGGTCTTTGATACTTCACCGGCCGATAATTAGAAATTACCCAAGATCAATGAAAAGGATCCCAGATTGCTTAGGTACCAGTTTGTTTCATTGCACATTTGGTCTAATGTATCGCATCAACATGTACTCTTTCTTATTTTCAGCATGCACTCCTGGCTTTAAAGTTTATACTTGCATTTGCCATACCTGATAAGCCACGGCATATTCAGATGAAACTGGCCAGATTGGAATTTGAGTCTTTGGAGGCACTCAAGCAGCAGGTAAGAGCAACTTTTCTGAAAAATGAATGCATTTCTTCAGCAAGTGACAAGAAACATAATTCAGATAAATCATTCTCAGTATTTTCTTCAGCCTTGAAGTTACCAGTTTAAATAAATACAGAGGACTCCAATTTAGGATGGCATAACAAAACCAAAATTCTAACAATATGAGCAACAAATAGGTTTAAAGAACTAAACTAAGCAAACAAAAATATTCAAGCAATGTTAAATAAAGAATAGAGAGCTAGCATTCAGCAAAAGAACAACACTGAGATTTCTAAGGATCATTCTGGGGTAACTCCCCATAGCTTCTAATTCTGTCTTCTACAGAAACATTAAGTGAGAAGAAGTAAGTAAACAGAATCCTGAATAACATCTTGCAGAGAAAGAATGAGCATGAATGGGTAGCATCTAAAAAACTGTCATAAAAGGAGAAATGTTTCTCAATGACTTTCACATTTTACCAGGGACCAGAGAGAGAGAACAACAACAGCAAACAAGCCGTGCCATTCACTATTTTGCTGATTTTCTGCTTATAGAAGAGTGAGAGTACACAGAAGAATCCTAAATGCCCAAAGCATCTCTCACTAGTTGTCTCATAGATACATGGGAATTTAAGCAATGAGACAATCAATATTATCTGAGGGGATAAGCTCTAGACAGGTGCTCCTGAACCCACATAGTCTCTTTGGTCTCCAAACCACTTTGCATAGAAATATTTCTTCTTATGTGTGAGAGTTGGGAGGAAAAGAATGTGATCCTTTGGTAGAAGGCTGATCCTTTGGTAGAAGTATGAGAGTTCCAAGAGTAGCGTAGTGGACAGAGGAACCCCATGTAGGAGCAATATGTACCCATGATTAGGTGGTGACCCCAGAAGAGGACCTGTGATAAAAATATATAATAAAGGGAAAACCTGGGCCCACCAGCCAGAGCCATGTTCATATTAGTCACACAGTAGGTGAGAAGGCTAAGTTACTTGTGTTCCTAGAGGTCGGGCAAGATCATTTCCGTCATGTAGGCTAGCCAGTGTGTTTGCATCATAAACTAGAATGGCAGGAAACACATTGTCACTGCTGATAGCTAGCATTGTTCTGAAGGTTCTTACCAGTAAGTACAGTTGTATAAGAGGAAGAAATAAATTCAGATAATCTGGAAGAGGCAACCTTATAATTACTTTAAAATTAGAGGATTTTATATCTAAAAAATCATAAGATTAATTATTAAGAACAGTAGGAAAGGCCAGGCTTGGTGGCTCAACCTGTAATCCCAGCACTTTGGGATGCTGAGGTTAGTGGATTGCCTGAGCCCATGGATTCGAGACCCACCCGGGCAACTTGGTGAGACCTCATCTCTATAATAAATAAAAAAAAAATCAGCCTGGCATGGTAGCACGTGCCTGTAATTCCGGCTACTCAGAAGGCTGAGGTGGAAGGATCGCCAGAGCCCAGCGGGTCGAGGCTGCGGTGGCTGGGAGTGTGCCACTGCACTCCAGTGTGGGTGACAGAGTGAGACTCCAACTCAAAAAAAAAGAACAGTAGAAAAATTTGATAAAGAGGCAGATTTCAAAGTTTAATCTAAAATTTGTTTCACAAGCAATAATAATCTTAACATATTGAAGAATAATTTGCATTTACAGAAGAAACCAAATATAAAACCTTTAGGTAGTAAGTTATGAAAACAGCATGATAATCTACTTGACAGTATGATAATCTGCATGAAGAATATTTTTAAAACTTTACTGGAATCAAAAGAGTCAATCTTGTGAAAATGTAGTACTCATTCAAATATGAAGAAATAAACATTTGAGAATAGCAAGGAAACTTCTGAAAGAGAAGAAAAATGAGGACTCAACTCTGTCAGATATTAAAATGTATTCTGAATAATACAGTAATTACAATAACTAATTACATTTTGAATTAGGTGATGGCAAGGACTAAGCTACATTTTGATAAAGGCAACTTAGTCCCCCACCCATCTAAATTAAATATATCTCCTTAAGAGATGCATTTCTGAAAAGTATCAAAATTTATTTTTAATAATTGTTTATTAAAATGAGTATGATATTTTTAAAATTTTTATTATAATCTTTATAGTGGTCAGTCAGTCAAAAGAGGGTTTTGAAAACTTACAGAGGGTCTCGTGTCATAGGAAACTAAAAGATTTTAAATTTCAATTTATGAGTGTATTATTACAGCAAAGTATGCAAGAGTATAAAGGCTTTTAAGTAAAATTTTATATATGCATATATAAAATTAGGATAAAATTCCTTAGGAGAAGTAGAAAGAGGTAGAAATAGAAAGATGACTTCAAAGAGGAAAAAAGAAAACAAAATCTTTAGATTAATTAAGAGTATACTTATGTATTTCTTAAATGGGTGACAGTGGATATCACATGAAGATGGTATTTAAAATCCCTTGAATAGCTTTAAAGAATGACTTAATAATTTATTCTTGTCAATAATTACCATATACTGTAAAATACTGTAAAATCTTTGCAATTATTTAAGTTATAACTGAAGATTTTAGATGTTAATTTAAAATTGTATGGAAGGACACATAGTATCTTAAAACTTTAGGCTGGGTCGGTGGCTCACGCCTGTAATCCCAGCACTTTGGGAGGTGGAGGTGAGAAGATTGCTTGAGCCCAAGGTTCAAGACCAGCCTGGGAAACTTGGCAAGATCTTGTCTCTACAGTAAATCAAAAAATTAGCTGAGTGTGGTGGCACATGCCTGTAGTTCCAGCTACTTAGAAGGCTGTGGCGGAAGGATTACCTGAGCCCAGCAGGTTGAGGCTGTGGTGGCTGTGAGCGTGCCACTGTACTCCAGCCTGGGTGACAAGTGAGACTGCAACTCAAAAAAAACTTTAGAGGGTATGTAAGAAAAAAAATGTTTTTTAATATACAGAATTGTCTCTGGAAAAGTTTTGGTTAATTAGGTTTCTCCATTGATTACGTTTCTGGTGACATTTTGTAGGTTGAAGCAGGCAACTTCCTGGCTAGTACATACACTCCAGTCAAAGGGCAATTTTGCTTTATGTTAGTAAAATTTTCCTCTTATCAGAATTTTATGTTGCCACACGTTTGTCCAAAAAGCAAAGGATTTCTATTGATGTTGGATAGTATTAACATGTTTTATGTTACTAAATACATTTATGTGGAAGTCATAATGCAGGGCTGTTATATTTGCTGTTGGGTTTCATGATCTGTATTACTTTGAAGATGACTAACTAACCTCTCAAGTTATCTCAGCTCTCAGATTCCCATATCTTCAAGTACATTGTCAGTGAGACAAGGCCCTAATTCAAAATTTATTTACATTCATCTTCACTGAGAAGTGAAACACTGACCAAAGTTTATCTCATACAGGTTGAGTATTTCTTATCTGAAATGCTTAGGACCAGAAGTGTTTTGGATTTTGAATTTTTTAGGATTTTGGAATATTTGCATTATACTTACTGTTGAACATCCGTAATCCAGAAATCTGAAATGCTCCTATTACCTTTTTTTTTTGCATCACATAGGCATGCAAAAATTTTAGATTTTGTAGCATTTCAGGCTTTTCAGACTAGGGATTAGTTTGTATTACTTTAAGATAAGAAAAACTTGTAAAAATTTTAAGTTTTGGGGGTTTTTTTTTTCCTTTCTCCTGAGGACATAGAAATGATTCTCTCAGTAACATCATCTTATAAGAAAAGGTGATTTTGGTGCTGATTTTAGAGGTCTAACAGGTTTGCACTCTGTGAACTTATTGAATGCTTTCAAGCAGGACATTTCTAGCTTGCTTCTAGCTTGATTTTTAAATTCGTGCATGTGCAGCTTGGATGTCTGTGATCCATCAAGTGGGCAGAAGGCAATGATGAGTGTTGTTAGATCTCTTAGGGCTTTGCAAACCCAGGAAAAGTGTTCCCCCCTCCCATCTCCACTGCCTTTTTTTCCTTTTAATTATCAATCTGAGATTAAAAGGTCCAGGGCAAAAGTTGGGCAGAAGCTGTAGCAGTTGCTCCTCTTGTGTGCGTCTCTCTCTTCCTGACCCAATACTGTGCTTCCTGACTGATCCTGCCGCAAGGGCCGCCCAAGCAGTGCTGCCATCAGGGAGAAACAAAGATTTTCATCACATTCTGTTTAGTCTCACTGCTGAGGAGATCCCAGAAGGTCAACCCACTCTGTGCTTTTCAAAAACTCAAAAAACTAGCCATGTCTTCAGTTTACTTGCTGAACTAGGATATAGAATTTTTTTCTCATTTTTCTTGTTTTTTTTTTTT